GATGATAAATGTATTGTATATGTGTGTATATGTGTGTGTGTATGTATGTATGTATATATATATATATATATATATATATAAATTATATATAATATATATATATATATATATATATATATATATATATATATATATATATATATATATATATATATATATATATATATAAAATACATTTATCATCATCATCAGCTTCAAAAGACTGGATGATGTAGGCCTCTCCCAATCTCTTCCAACTTTGACTGTCTTGCATTTTTTTTTTCCAGTCTTGGCCCCCAAATTTCATTACATCGTCATGCCATCTTGTCATTGGTTTGGCCCTTGGCCTCTTTATGTTATCTATAGCCCAGTCTGTTATTTTCTATGTCCATCTGTTGTCCTGTCTCCAACATATATGATCTACCCATAGCCATTGTTTTCACTTTTGTCTGTTCCCTGATCCACGTCGCCCTCATCCGATCTCTTAGGCTAATTCCCAGCATCAACTTGTAGTCTGTTTCTGATCCATAGGTCATAACTGGGAGGGTGTATTGGTTAAAGACTTCTTTTTAAACATAATGGCAAGAAGCCTCTTAGTAAGCTACTGTGTCTGCCAAAGGTGCTCCAACCTAGATTGATGCGTCACTTAATTTCCCCTTCATTAGATGTGCTTGTCTGTACGAGTTGCCCTAGGTATATATATTTGTCCACTACCTCTAGCACTTCTTCTTGTACCTGTTCGAATCGAGTTCTACTGTTGAACATGTCTTAGTCTTAGTCCTTATATTTAATGTACGATTGTTCCGTAATACCATACCAATGTGATTAGTACACGTCTTCTCATTGAGCAAATACAAGTTTGTACAATTGATGTAATGCATATATATACCTAAAATGAAAAGGGAACCAATAATCTATATTTATTTTATGTACTTAAAACTTTGTCGCATCATCTAAGGTCATCCACAGAGAATCAAAAATACAGCGATACTGGATTCCCAGAATGGTTAATGGTTAAAACAAATAAATGAGCTAGACACAGGTCATATAGCAATACGAAAAAGTATCTTGGTGAAAAGGGTAAAAATGAGTTAACAATTAGGATAGACAGCGGACAGAAGGGGATGAAGAAAAGGAAAAGGAAAGAAGTAATAATAATGGTAACAAGAATAGTGATCAGTATTGTTAATTCTATTGGCACTGTTATTCTATCATGATCATCAGTTTTATTTCATCATCATAACTATTGCTATTCAATCATCTCTATTTATAATACTATCATTACCAGTTTTATCAGTTCATGCTAGACAAAACATTGTGTGGAGATTCTCCATTATATTTCTTTTATTCAGATAATTAAACTTCCTTAACAATAGTGTCAAAGACAAGAGAGAAATCTTGGAAAATAATGTACAATAGTCACTGATAACTTTATATCAGACTATAAATGAAACTGGGTTAGAATTTTGTACAGTGAGCTTTATTTGATAATTACAAGTAATAGTAGTAGTAGCAGAAGTATAGCAGCAGCAGCACTAGCAATAATGATAATCACAACCCTACCACTTCTACTGTTACTTGTAATGTAATTGTTAATAACAGTTAATCAGTAATGACCATAGTATATATCAATATTTGAAAAAATAATAATTACAGTAGAAATAGTGATAAAAATGGAGAGTATAGAGAAAATAATACTGATGATGAAAATAAATACTAGCATACTAGCAAACCAAGTTATATATTCAAATGATAACCTTAACCCATTCGCCACACGTGGCAAGAATAGATGCCATACCCAGTTTGATATACGTTCATTTATTGTATTTACACATAGATGGCTCCCCAAGTTCTTAATCACCAAACAGCCAGTTATCAAGAACTACCTATTTCCCCTGTTTACCCGTTACCTTCACCTTAGGAAAGGGTTTTCTGTATCATTTCATTGTCTAAAATATTCTAATGACAATTTAATAATCATAACATCAATAACAATAATAACAGTGTCGATAACAATGGTATTTAATTTCCCGCCAATTCAATGAATGGAAAAATCAGGGTCGGTAACTAGGGCCTACTGATAGACTCCTTGCTGGCAGAGCCATCTGTATGTAACAAAAATCACCAAAAATTACAGGGGACAGAACATAAATCCAGGGCGAATGGGTTAATACTTGAGAGAGTGAGTGAGAGAGAGAGAGAGAGAGAGAGAGAGAGAGAGAGAGAGAGAGAGAGAGAGAGAGAGAGAGAGAGAGAGAGAGAGAGAGAGAGAGAAAGTGAGACACACACACACAAATTCCCTGTAGAAAGGCTTCATAATGCCTTAACAGCAGAAAAAATATAAAAACTGAATGGTAAATTGCTATAAAGCTCTATTGTAGGCTGTTGCATTAAATTGAGATTAAATCATTTTTGAAATTCTTATTCTCCTTTAGATAATTTTGGATGAGGCTTAATTAGAACTGGAAGCTAAATTCAAATGCAAAAATATCAAATATGGAAAATAAAAGAAAACTTTTATCAACTGATTTTATTATATACACCACATTCTTAATTTTACATTAATAAACTAGAGGATAATTGATCTTTATTTGTCATAAAAAATCTGACAAGTCAATCAGCACAAAAATGAACACTTTTATTTTGCCAAGGTAAATGTAATTTCTAAGTAACCAGAATACTGGTTTGGTTCTTGTAATCAATGCATGTGCCTTAACATAATACGTCTAAAACTTAAAAAAAAAAAAAGCAAAGGGAATCACTGCATAAATTTATAAGCCGACATGTAAAAATGAGAGAGTAAACTTAAATGGGAACAGACTACGATTATCTGTTTCAAATACTTATTTTAGAGTAAGAACGTTGTTAATATTCCCTGTACTCAGAACCCGAGAGTATCTTACATGTTTGCTCTGAAGACATTTTCTAAAGAACGGGTATATATATGTATATACTTGCATGTCATCTGTGAATTACCTTTTTAAAAAAATCAACTATTGTACTATTTTTTTTTCTTTTTTTATCAAGGGTAAATACACTACTTGATCTTACTTGCACACTGTAAATGTAAGTCTGAAATTCTCCTTATCTTACTGTTTTTTCATAATCTAATCAAGGTGGACTTATTCTGTGATCGACGCTCTGGTGGTTCGAGTCGATCTTCGAGGCGGGGGTTCCTCCTCCTCACTAACAGAAGGCTTGCTCTTTCTTGACCTTTTTCGTGGGCTAAGTGCCTCGTAGGTCTGGTCTTCAGAAACGAGCCGTCTCACAGCCCTTGTTCTTTGTTGTGGGACGGTTTCACTGTCTGTTTCTTGCTCATCCTCTACGTCTGAGCTGTTAGCCTTTTCTGATTCGTCGGCATTCTCACTCATTTCCTGGGGTGACAGGACGCTTTCCAAGTCTTCCTCTCTTTCCTCAGGAATTGTAGCTCTAACACTTCTGCTTTTTCTCCTTGGAGTGGATGAGCCCTTTTCACTTGGCTGATCATCTGAAGAACTTCTTGTGCTTCTTTTCCGCTGTTTGGTCTCTTTTACTGGAACATCTTGGTCATTTTCGTCTTTGTCTTTCTTTGTTGATCTACCAGATCTGGATGACTTTTTCATGGTTTGTGTTTCCTCTTGTGAAGCAGAAGCATCTGTGTCAGCTGCCAGTTTTAAGTCATCAACACTTTCTCGCCTTTCCTTTGTTTTTTTGCTTGCCTTTCTGTGTTTCGTGCTACTTTCTTCATTTATTTTTGCTTCTAGTTCTACTTCTTCCTCAGATTTCTCTGTTTTCCCTGTTCTAGTGGATTTTTTGGGTGTGCTTGACTTCACTTCAGGGAATTCATTCTCTTCTTCTACTGGCTGTAAATACTGAGGTTCTTCTGTACTATCCCTTGACCTCCTGCTAGTTTTTCTTTGTTTGCCTTTGCTTTCACTTTCCTGCCTGCCTTCCTTACCATGTTCAACCTCCTCACTTTCCTTCTTGCTTGGCTTTCCTATTCTTGGGGCTTTCTGTGACTGCTGAGGAGGACCTTGCTCTTTGGACATGTTACCTTCAGTTTGCATTCTCTCATCATCTACTTTATCCTTTGCCTTGTTGACTTTAGCCTTTTCAGAAAATTTCTTCTCTTCTCTTTCTTTATCTTCTGTACTACATGACCTCTTTCCAAATTTTGACACATTCACATTGCTGAGATTAAGAGAGTCTGCTATATTCTCTGTTGACTTAATACTCTCCTCTTTCTTAGACTGAGGTAGGTTAACCTGCGTATCCAGTGACTGGGCATTAAAATCAACGCTGAGACTTGGATCCCGTATTTTGGTATCCAATCTCGTTGACAATTCCAGTGTAGAAATTATACTCTTACCAGATTTACTTTCGCTGATGGCCATGGACTCAGAACTTGACTCTGTGCCTGGAGGAGGAGGAGTTGACTCCTTCTTGTCCTGCAAGCATTCCTCATCTGATTCATCACTCAACTCCATGCTTGCCTCGCCAAGTTCTGGATGGCTGTCACTTTTGTTCAGGTCATCCATCTCAGTTCCGGGTGGGGGAGGTGTGAATTCTCGGTCAATGTGTGATTTCCTAGTTGGCATATCCATCACTGCACTTGGGTCTGTGGGCCATGTTGTGCCAGCGTGTTCCAATCCCTCTGGATTACTTGAAGTATTCCACAATGCATTCTGTGTATGGAGGCCTAGCTTTGGTGCTGTGAAGCTACTCATGCACACAGTAGTGGTTTGAGATGCAGTGAGAGCTTTCTCAGATGCAAACTGGCTAGCAATATTGTCCCTAATGCCCATTGGAGGCAAGACATTCATCGATGCATGCAGGTCATGCTCGTCTTCCGTACCAGGTGGTGGAGGAATGGGATTTTCGTGCATCCCAGTCATAAAAGCTGGCAAGCCAAACCCATCTTGACTATTGCTACCACTACTCCATGCCCCAGAGCTTAGTTCCTGAGCACCAAAATGCGTCCCTGGTACTGTCATGTCACTCCCCAATTTTGATTTTTGTGCTATGTCTTGCAAATGTACAGTCTTGCTTTTTGTACTTGGAACCCCTAACCCCGAACCGACTAGCATATGGGCCTCATCCTCAGTTCCTGGTGGTAATGGTAGATCTGAAGTTATAGTATCTTCAGTTCCTGGAGGCAGGGGTAAACTTGCAATAGCAACATCTTCAGTACCAGGTGGCAGAGGGAGATCAGAACTCAGAGGATCTTCGGCTCCAGGTGGCAAAGGTAAACAAGGTACCCCAATATCTTCTGTTCCAGGTGGCAAGGGGAGGCCTGGATCCATTACATGTTCAGTTCCTGGTGGCAGTACATCTGGACTGATTATATTTTCTGTTCCTGGTGGTAAAGGTAAACTTGGGCCCATCATGCTTTCAGTACCTGGTGGTAAGGGAAGATCTGAACCTACTTCTGCAGTCAAGAGTGGTACCTGTAGGTCTGAACTTACAACACTTTCTGTTCCTGGTGGCACAGGCATGTCAGATCCTCCTTGGCTCACTAGTCCTACCATGGGGAAACTGTCCTGACTGTTGCTACCACTGCCACAATCCCTGTGTACATCATGGATCATGTTAGCTGCTGCTAATATCTCCTGGGAATCATTATCCATTTCAAAGTGTGTCACTGGGTAGCTTTCCTCTCCAGGTGGAAGAGGCAAATCACAATTATCTTGGTTCTTGGAGGCTTCATCTGTTTTAGGAGGGAGGGGGATATCTGATGGCAGAGGGGTTTTGTTTGCTGATTTGAATCCAGGCAGGGGGATGCTCAGTAAATCCAAAGCTTTTAGTGTTGCAGCAGCAGCACATTCTGTGGGCTCATCGTCCTCTATATCCATGCACTCGGAGGTATTCAAGTCATCTAAACAACTGTATTCCTCCTCATCCTGGTTTGTAACTTCACCGCTCTGCTCTTCATAGCCAGTGTAGTCACTAGTGAGAGGGCACACATCCATATCACTGACAACAGGATATTCATTTTCAGCTATGGTCTTGGGATCTGCAACATTCTCAATCAGATTTTCATTCTCTTGACTCATTACCCAAGCAATGTTATCAGACAGGTCAATTTTCTGCTCATCCTCTGTCAATGGAATTTCCATCTTTGGGTCTAGTACAAGGTTACTGCTTGCAGCTATATCTTGCTTTGTTTCTTTCGATGATTCTTTACGCTTGGGTACTGATGACTGTTGCTTCTTCTTCAAGAATGGCATTTTTCCAATAAGAGGTAATTTGGGTGTTGCACTTTTCTTTTCATCATCCTGACTGTCTTTGTATGATCCATCTGCAAAAGCTGCTTCATCTCCCTCTGTCTTCAGATCTTTGGTAACGACTTCCCTGGAAGAACCTTTTTCCTTTTTGGATTCACTTCTTGTACTTGTGTCTTTGTACTCTTTGCTCTCAGAAGCCTGAGTCTGTGTTACAGACGACTCGTTTTTGTGGTCAAGAGTCCTCCCGGAGTCTGATTCTACCACCTTCTTCTCTCTCTCACGCTTTTCACTCTTCTCTTTCTTGCTCTCCTGCCTCTGGCTTCTCTCTTTTTCCACTTTTTCATTAATCTCGGTGCTCTCCTCCTTCTCCTGTCTTACCATGTCCCTCTTCTGCTTGATCTGCCTCAGCAGTTTCTCCTCAATTTCATCTGTTGCAATCTTTTCCTTCAGCTTCATCTTTGCCTCCACCATATACCGTGCTTGCTCAACACTATACTTGGCATAAGCTGCTGCCTTGGTCTTGACAAGAGATGCCTCATACATGGGATTCTTCACCAAATGCATCTGCAGTGAGACAATGATTTATTGGAAAATGGTGAATTAAAAAAATGTAGTTCATAATTGCAACACATGGAAATAAAACTTATGAATGGCTCAATAAAACAGTACTGATACTTGAATATTAATAAATAAGGTTTACATGATCATATCATCAAGTAAGTAGTACTGTCAGCTATAACTTAGTCTAACTCAATTCTCCCAAAGTTAAGGCGGCCCTGATTATAAATTACTTTAAAAACAGAAAACATGTTGGAAACCCTAACCATTGAAACAGTTATGAAACATTTTTTAACTGACTATGATACATTTACCTCCCCCCTGCCATTCTATATTCAAAAAGGCAATTTATGTAAAATTCAAATGAGATATATCATACCTCAAGCATGATATACAATGTCTACAAAAATACTTCACATAATAATGAATAAATAAGCACACAAACTTGTCACAGGAAATGACTCTTTTCGACAGCTTACCTTGTAATTTGAAGTGTGTATCTTAGACTCAGGGTGTCTGACAGCTTCACCCTTGTCTCTCATGAAGACATCACAGAGGGAGCAGTAGTAAGATGTGAGCGAGTGAAGAAATTCCACACCTGAAAGATTAAATGCATTTTATTTCTTCCATCTCTTTCCCTCTTTCTCTCCAGTACTTGCCTCTTTCCTCTATATCCCCCCCCTGTCTCTGTCTTACTTGCAGAAAAGCCTACCATACACACAATGTGTCTAGGAGAGGATGAAATAGTAAATTAAAAATTATCTTGAAATTTTCATCTTCAGGTCTGAGATCAGTATTCTGAAGGACTGCCATTTTTCTTCTAATAATATTTCTGCCACTGTGCCAGCCAGTTTCTCAGTCTCAATTACAATCACAATCTCTCACACTCCCTCATTCAAACAAACAAACAAGCACATTTTAGTACTCAAAGAAAGAAAGGAAGAAAAAAGGGCAATGAACGTACAGTTCTGCCTTAAATTCCCAAACTTGTTCATACCTTGAACTGGAACTATAAGAGCTGTTGCATTTGGTGGTTTGGGTTCCTTCTCCTCCTTTGGGGCTTTGGCCAACCATGTCTTCCGATCATACTGAAAACACAGGTAAGAGGTATTAGACTTCTGGAATATACACAACACATGACATCAACACAAAGAAGAGAAGAGGAGAGAAGAGGAGAGGGGAAGAAAGAGAAAAAGAAAAAGAATAGAAAAGAGAGGAGAGGAGAGGAGAGGAGAGGAGAGGAGAGGAGGAGAGAAGAGAAGAGAAGAGAAGAGAAAAGAAGAGAGCAGGGAAATGAGATTGTTGTTTAATATTTGCAAATTTCTATGATCTTTATATATATGAAAGTTAGACTGGTTAAAGTGGAAGAAAAGAACAATAAAGCATGGAGACAGGAAAAGTCTTGTACAAAGAACACTGAGTACTTACTTTACATTTCGCTAAGTGTGATGAACTGAGAAGATGATCCACATACTCAGGAATGCTCTCACAGAATATGCTGCACAGCTTACACCAATGCATGCCTTGGTCACAGTAGCGAATATATGTCCTCTGAACAAAGCCTTGGGGATATTGCAGCCCTTCATCAATTTCTTCTTTTGGTTCCTCCTTTTTCCTGTACATGTCCTGCTGCCTTTTCTCCCCATCGGGTTTACCAGCTGTTGTTCTCTTTCTGGAGGTAGATGGTGCTCTTTGAAATTCCTTGGAATACTCCCCTGAAGGAGACCACAGCCTCTGCTGCTGGCCACCTGATACTGGTGACCTTGTTCGATGTCGCCCAGCATTTGGAGAGCGTGACTTGTGCCTGCTCACATTAGGAGATCGGGACCTTTGTTGTCTTGCAGCTGGAGAACTTATTCTGTGTGGGCCTGCAGCAGCTGGAGATCGCGACCTGTGCTTTCCTGATGCTGGTGAAACGGATCTGCGATGTTCTGGATACTCATAGCCTTTTGATTCATTTCTGTAAGATGCCTCCACATGCTTATAATTCCTCTCTGGTGTCTTCCCGTGCTCATACTGCCGAGATGGTCCGCAAAACCTCATGGCTGGAGGAGACCGACTCCTCCTCCTCTGTGGGCTTTCTGCTCTTGGCAATGGCTGATTCCCTGGCTTTAAAACCTCAATCTCTTTCTCAACTTCAATAACCATATGGTTAATCTTCGTTATCTGATTGCCCATCTCTTTCACAAGGAACCAGTTTTCTTGCAGGAGATTATTAAGACTGCTCTTGTCTCCTTTGTGATTGCTAATGATGTCCTCCCTCTGATTCATCATCAGATCTTTCTGCTCTGTTAGAGACCTGGCTCTTTTCAATAGAGTCTCCCTCTTCTGCATCAGCTTCTGTACTGGATCTTCCAACTCCTTTACCTCTCTTTCATGCATCTTACTCATCTTCTTATCCTCCGCACTTGAATCAGAACCTGAATCATAGCTTCTCCTCTGTTTTGACTTTCCTGTCTTTTGCCGTTTACTCTTGGACCGCACTTGCACTGGAGGCTCATGGTCATCGGCTGCCTCATCACCTGGAGATGGTATGGCTGACCTACTGCTATGTGCTCTTGTCTGCGAGGAAGGTGGAGGTACACTGGGGGAGTATGAATGACCACTGGGGAAGAGCATAGGCCTAGACTGTGGAACTTTATCTTTATTCAGCTCTGTAATTCTACTGGCAGTAGCCTCCTCATCAAGCTGAGAAGTCATGGCAGGTACTGGAGGGAGTCTTGATGACGAGGAGGATGAAGAAGACATTGCAGTTGGAGGTACCATCTGCTTGGTCTCTTTTAATGTGGGATGAGCTGTTTGTCTCTCTCCCATTTTTTCCTTCCTGAAAACCCAAAAGAGGACAATTCTATTAGTAATATACTAAAATACCCAATGATTTCCAATACATAATTCACTCTACGAACTGTATAAACAAATACGTAAATGTAAGAAACCATATCCTTATATGCAACTATACAAAACAACCCAATCTGAAGAAAGAATCTATGAGACTGATTTTCACTACCTTTTCCTCTACAGAAGAATGGAAGGTAAGTGTGGATGTCTGAATTTTGCTTAAGAGGTAAAGAACCAATTTAGGAATTTGGGAATGTGGAAAATAATAAATACGAAAAAAAGGTCAGGCACTCATCAGCCACATTTATTTCTGACTCAATCTAGCAACTGCTGACTGCAATAGTTTATAGTATGCACGCAGTTAAAAAATCCTATCAAGAGTAAAGATTTTTAACATTATTACCCTGACAAAATCCAACTTCTGGCAAATAATTTGAATAGTGCTGTTGAATGAATGAATAAGTTTGTGTCACATAATTTCTGATCAAAATTGCACTGTGAAACTAAATTTGCATTTGGCAGACATATCTTAATTTGTTGCTACTTTTGGTTCTGTGACATATCACTTAATGTTTAAGGGGACTGTCACCATAATCCATAGTTATAGATTTGTTTTACTGGGAGAAAAAAAGGGCAACACTGCCCTACATCATGGCAAAGTTTGGTAAGGAAATAACTAAAAATAAAGACATAGTGGCCCTTTTTTTATTACCCTCTGTGCATACAGCACACAAATGCACATCACTCCTTGGGCAGACGAACCTAATGATTTGGTAAAATTACGTTGAAATCATGTGCCCGTAGAATTCATTTGAATCAACATCTGGTAACTCTCTGGTTGGTCAATGCAATTCAGGTCTGTTGAATACCACAATGTCTGAGCACAATGCAAACAGATCATGTAAATATTAAAACCCATTTTTTCTTTTTTGTAAATTCTTGTATGATTTTCTTCACTTATGTTGCATTTTGTAGATTAGAAAATATGCCACTTATGGTACCAAGGAAATTCTTATTTTTGGTATATTTAAAAAAATTCAAATTGAAATATTTAAACTAATAAAAGGAATAAAAAAACATATATACTACTTCTAGATAATAAATAAAAGAGGTCACAGAATTTTTTTTCTCATTAACTTTGGTCATTCATGATAATGACAGTAAGCACCAGTATAGTGCACCATATAAGAAAAATTATGAATTTATTTTTTTATTTAGTTATCTCTGCCAAATGAAACCAAACTCAAGATATAACTTCTCTATAATGATAACCAGAAAAAAAATAGTCAAAGTAATCTAGGTCCCATATGAAGGGCACTGAGATTAAATGGTGACGGTCCCCCAAATGATTTTGAGCATAGGTAATCAAACAAATTTTTAAATCTATATCAGACTGATTTTCTATATCAAAGATTTCTGGATTTCAAATACTGGACTGACAGTACTTTTCCTAAATATTGAAGATCTTTTTGATGAAGGAAAACTAACATGTATAAAAATCTTTTCAGCTTGTGTAGGCAAATTGTGGTGTAACACACCTAAAAAAATATCAATGAAAACAAAGACAGGTGTCAAATCATAATAATCTACATCAGGGTTTGCAAAAAATATATAAATAAATATGAAAATAATGAATGTGATACAAAACTCAGCAATCGAAAGAGAAGAAAGAAAGAAAGAAAACAAGCTATATACTTTGAATGTCAAAGATTGCCTTGTCGCACCTAATCTACATCAGTGCTAATCAAAATATGATACACAAGTTACAGAAGCCCCGGGGGGGGGGATTGGGGGATAAAGAAAAAGAAAGAAAGAAAGAAAGAAAGAAAGAAAGAAAAGTACTCAGCACTATTATTACTGGTGGTGGTAATGATAATGGTAATAGTGAATGATAATGATAATAATAATAATAATAATAGCATAGCAATAACAACAAAATCAATAATGTTAACAATAGAAGCAGAAAATAAATATTCCCCAGAAGTTCATGGAATGGGGTAAACAGGTAAGGGCAAGGTAGGTCTAGTAATGAACTTTCTGGTAGCTAAGTGCATGTGATGCCATCAATGTTAAGACAAAACCATGGTGAACGTTGCATATTCCCAGAATCACCACAGCAACTTCTATTTTATCCATTGTATACTTCTGGATTGTAAACAAATATGCTTTGGATATGTTACTGGTCCCTGGGGGGGATAAAGGGATGGGGGAATATATCAATAGCTGCTATATTAGGGAGTTTGAACAACAACGATCCAGATAACTAATGGCTATATTATCAGAAAAATGTTAAGGGTTAATTTCCCTGTTTAAGAACCTTTTCAAGAAATCTGGTGTTTTAGAATACCACTTCCCTTTCCACTGTCCCTAAAACCTTTCAGTGTACACATTATTGGAGCATTGTGGGTTTTTAGCAAAGGGAGGGGGGGAGGGGAGTGCCACCTTACATGAACCATTTTCTCATTCTCTTCTTTTATAATTTCTTTGGAATTCTATATAATTTGTAAATGATTGCAGAATGCTACAAAATAAAAACAAAGTGGCAGAAAACCAAGTCAAAAATATAAATAGGCCTATAATCACAGTACATCACTCACCCACCAAAAACTACATAGCTTTCATGCAAGTATACCCATATTACACAATGAATTAAAGAAATATTACTAAATAATACAAATGTATATACACACATACATGTAAAGTTATGAATATGTATACACACAAAAATAAATCACAGTAAAAAATGATTGGGTTCTGTAACTTAAGTGGCAGTAAGTTTGTACTGGCTTATTCAAACTTGTAATTGCCAAATAAAACATTTTAGTTGGTAGATATACCTTGTGTTCAACCTAAGTGTATCTGAAACTTGATGTTTTTTGTGCTGGATGCCCTAAGCCTATATGGTAATGATCATCAAATAAGGAAAAAGTGGTAAAGAGTTAATAGCCTTGACCTCGTTGCTGTATTACGTGAAAAGATTAAGTGAGATCTACATTTAGTATTACGAAGCAGGAGAGATTACATATATTATAAGATATGTAATATTTTTCTGTTACAAATACAGCCAGGATTACCAGCCCCACAAGAAAAGGGAAATGTATGAGGTATCTGTTTTGGAATATGGTAAGATTTGGGTTACTTCTGTAAGGGTAGAACTTAAGGGTAGTTTGGTGATCCCAAGAGATTTGATAATATGGCTGTAAGATTTAAATTTTACCATTCCAATATAATACTACATATCACACAATTTACCCTTTCATTTAATGATGAATTTACCATTAACCCCTTGGTGCCGGGTGACGCCGATTGGCGTGTACACAAAGAGCTCAAAAGCTGGCGTGCAGCCGAACGAGCCGGCGGCGCGCCAAAGCGCGGCGAGCCAGTGATTCGGGCTGATGTCCCCTACTCACGCGCTCAAAGTCGGCGCGCCGCCTTTGTTTGTTTAAGCGTAGTTTTTTTTTTCTTTTGTACACCCGGCGCCATTGGGTTAAACACAGCAAGAAATCATGGTCATTAAGTCCTTCTGCTTACTTTTAAATTAAATATAAATTGAAGTACATTTGCAAAAATCAAAACATTATTGTCATTAAAGCTTGTCACAGCATGGCATGTACTTTAAGTACTATAGCTGATCTGCGACAGTCAAAATCTATATCACATAAACGTGTTCTCTGTTGCCTTGAGAAAACAGAAAAGACAGGAGAATAATGAGGAGCAGGAGCAGGAGGAGGAGGAGGAGGAGAGGCAAAGGACAAAATAATAAGTATCATTTTGATGTAGCACCCAAGATGAGATGTTCAAACCCAAAATACCTATTTTCTTTCCTGAAAAACAAACATCAATGAAACAAGCAAAAAACGCACACACGCACACACACACACACACACACAAACATACAAGCACACGTGTACACACACATACGCAAAATAATATCAATCAAATAAACAACCACAAACACAAAAAAAGGGAAGGAAAAAAAAAAGAAGGAAAAAGTTAAAGGAACCATATTTTTAAATGCCTTGCACTTCACTGATTGAAAAAAAAAGAAGGAAAAAGTTAAAGGAACCATATTTTTAAATGCCTTGCACTTCACTGATTGGTTGTTAAGTATAGCTGATATCTGTCTTAACACTGAATGGTTTTTTACTCCCTGCAATTTTCTTATTGTATATGTCATTCATGGTTTACCTGCCTAGAACAGGTAAAGTTCCAGGTGATGAGGGAAGGAGTTTCTCATTCTGTCTTCAAGGTATACACACACTTAGCTTTGTGCAGAGTTAAATTTTATGTGCATGCCTCTTTAGAAAACTAAACAGAGGAGTTAAGCTGTCAAGATGACTTCCCTGTGAAAATTAGGCACATTACCATTTCGATACAGAAAGTGAAAACAAAAGAAAAAAAAGAAGAAAAAAAAAAAGTATCCCTCCTGACACTGAAATAGTTGTTAACAATGTACCTTTTTCTTTCGTCCTTTTTTTTTATAACCCAAAGCCTGTCAAATTTCAAAAAGCTATTTCACTTAAAAGTAGGTATATCATCAGTATATTATATACTTGTATTATATCTTGTTTTTCTTCTGAAACTGTATTAATCTTACCTCTGAACATAGGGTGTCTCCACCTCCCAATCATTGGCACCAGACTGATAGCTCATGTCCTTCTTGACTTTTTGTGCTTTGTGCCAGTCAAAAGCCGGGACCCAGAAAGAGGAGCCACTGGACTTGGCATCATCAGGAACACTCTTTACAGTGGGTTCCTCCGAGGACTGCAGTGAGGAGTGCAAGTGCTTCCTAGGATCTTCCATTGTAGACTTTAAGTTCCAGTCAGAAGGATACCTGGTGTCTTGGCCACGGGAGGAAGACTTTGGTTCATGTCCCCTTTCCCTGGAAGGTGGCGAAGGATTGGTGCTGGCCTGTACCTGCCTCAGCCTTTTCCCGCGCTCCAACCCCTCTTGGAAAGAGTTCCCGATGGAATCTTCTACGGATCTGGATATAGATTTCCCAAAGATGTCATCCACTTCTTCGCCCACTTCCTCTAGGTCCATCCCTAGTTCTTCCAGTTCGCTCGCTACTACGGCAGGATCGGGAGAAACATCTTTCCTGGGGGACTCCTTCTCTTCTGCTGTCTTTTTGCTTTGCTTCAATAACTCTTTTAAGAGATTCTGGGTGTGAGGATCCATGAGATCCCTTGTAATGCGCTCCTGTAGCTCGACAATGGATGTCCTTTCCTTTTGGTCCTGGTCAGCTGCAATCTTCATCTGCTCGGAAATTGGAACATCTGGCCGCATTGCCTCTTGCCTAGACACTTGTTCTGGAAGGAAAAAATTCACTACTATATTATACCACATAAAGTCAGGATAAAACATTTCAAAAGTTTAGCAATATAATCTACCTAAAAATGTTATGTTGCAAACCCTAACTATATTTGTCAACATTACTCAAAACAAAAAAAAAAGTCAGCATAAATTACCACGACCATTAAATCTGATTTCAGCTTTTTAAAAATTGAGGTAATGTAGTAATGACAACATATTAAACTTGTGCACTGAAGATGCCAGCTGATACTCCATTATCACCCATGTTGACAAGGTAGTAATGTGGCTGCAGGACAATATACAGTTTTAGAATCAGATCAAGAACTTCTTGCCTCCTGATCCTTGCATCATTCGACGCAGTTCCTTTGGGAGATGTAAACAACCAAGCTATTCAAGACCTTGACATACAATTCTGAAATTTCATTCAATACAAAAAGTAAAGAGAGAGAGAGAGAGAGAAAGAGAGAGAGAGGGAGATGATCTACTAACGATCCCATGGTCTCTGTTAAAATGGAAATCATTTACAGAATAGGCAACTAATTACACAAATACAAAACTACTTCTCCATCTCTGTCTTCCTCCCACTCATTCTAACTTTCTATCTCCTCCTAAATATATCTCTAAATATATATATCCATTCTTCCTTTCCATCCTTGCTGTAGATCTTCCATATTGGTATATCAAGTGTACTCCTCAAAAGTTGAGATAAAAATCACCTACCTTGAGTACCAGACCTGTTCTTGTGCATTGGTGGGCAGTTACTCAAGGGGCTGCTGCTGTAACTATTATTATTACTGCGTATGTTCCCAGTGTGTTGGCTCCTCTCAAACCCATCTCTTTGTTCTTGGTTGGCATTGTAATTTTCACTGTCGAAACTCGACATGGTTCCACTTCTGTTTCTCTGTCGAGGGAGGCTTGGGCTCCTGCTCTTTCTTTCACCGGAATTAAAGCTGCCGCTCCGTTGATTGGCTGGGCTTCTGCTCCTGCTCTTATTGTGAGAGACGCTCGGTGATCTGCTCCGGCGAGAAGGACTTTGACTCATCCTGCGGCTTCTACTCCGACTGCGGTGTTCAAAGGGGCTGTGGCTCCTACTCCTGTGGTGGGAGGGACAGGGACTCCTAGTTCCACGTGGAGAGCTCCTACTCCTACTGCGACGGGAAGCCGGAGTGCGGCTCTTGCTCCTACGTGAGGGGAAGCTGTAACTCCTACTCCTGCTCCTGCGTGACGGATAGCTGTGACTTCTGCTTCTCCTCGGAGGCGGGCTGCGGCTTCTACTTCTACGGGGGTGTGAGCTTCGACTCCTGCTTCTTCTTGGGGGTGGACTTCTGCTTCTGCTTCTCCACGAGGGTGGGCTCCGGCTTCTGCTGCGGCGTCGCGGTGGTGAGCGCATCCTGTGACCGCCCTTGTGGTGCCAGCGTGGACTCATGCTTCTGCTGCGGCTTCTTGGGTGCCGATTCCTGTGCATTTTCTGGTAATTCTGTGGACAGACAATATAAAATAAAAACAAGGGAATTTTTTCCATTAGAATTTCTTCTTCGTATATGGTTCATTAAACTAATTTCCCACTTGGTAGGACATACTATAGCATAAACTCTTATAAACTTTAAAGTGCTGATTATAACTTGGTATAAACCCATGTAAATACAATACTTAGTCAATTTATTATGGAATAAATATAAATACATAGTATATTCTAAATACAACCTACTACACAATGTTCCAATCCACACAATTTATTTTTCTGTTCAATTTTCTACACACATGACATAAGTAATCATATACTGTAAGGGAAGGGTAGAAGAAAGATCAGAGAGAAAAATGAAAGAACAAATGAGAGCTATATAAAATGGAGACACAAACTACATCAGAACAGAAGAGGAATAAAAACAAGAAGGTAGACAGAGAGGAGAGAAAAAGAAAAGGAGAGAGAAAAAGAAGAGATGAGAAGAAGACAACAAAGAAGACAAAGAAGAAGAAAAGGAAGAAACACACACATACAACAACAAAATGAAACAAAATATCCTCTCTCACCTGATGTGATTTTCCATAATGGTCCCCACGGCCGCCGCGCTTCTGTCGAAAGTGCCAGTTGCTGCAGTTCTCCCGCCAGCACCTCCCATCATTGACGCAGATGAACCCGTGGACATAGTTACACTGATGCTTCCCCTTGATGCATTTGTTCATTCGCCAGTACCGGCACGTCTCTGGTACCTTGTTCCGCATGTTAACCTGTGCCAAATAAATGAAAAGGGAAGAACAATGTTAAGCCGTTGATTCAAGTTTAACTCCTCCTCCGTGAAATACCCATTTCGTATTGATAAAACAGACAAACAAAACTAAGAAACAAAAAGAAGTTACAAAAGAAGTGCAAACTAAAATATCCACTACTTACACTCATATTAGTGTTTATGCTGTTCCTAACTAGAAGCCTGGTCTACCTGCAAAAATAAAAGCAAAAAACTCTATAAAAGAAAAGAAAACGTGCTAATGTTAGGAATCGCTATCATTACACAACATAAAAAAAAAAAAAAAAAAAAAAAAATACATAGGAATTTGTGACTCAATATGTCACTATGGGCGTATGTGTATGGCTTCTTCATGCATGGGTACCGGGTTGATGCATTGTTCACTGTAGTTTTGTTTTGTCCATTTTGTTTACACATGGATGGCTTCATAACCATCCTAAACTCGTTTGTTTACCCATTCCTTGTTTTTGTCTTAGGATCAGTGTGAAGAACTATGAAGATTCTCATGTTTCCCTGGGTTCACAGTAGGCAGTTTAACACTTAGCAGTAAACACAAACAGCTCTACTTTCACTGCCTGTTTACCTGGGTCAGTATTTAAGAACATTTACTGATACTGATTACTATCCCATGGTAAGGGGTGACACACTGTTATGTAATGTTTAACCCATTCGCCACGGATTTATGTTCTGTCCCCTGTTGGTTTTGGTGAATTTTGCTACCTACAGATGGCTCCACATGTATTCAGCCGGCAAGAAGTCTATCAGTAGGCCCTAGTTACCGACCCTGATTTTCCCATTCATTGAATTGGCGGGAAAATTAATATCATTGCTTTCGATGCTGTTATTATTGTTACTGATGTTATGATGATTGAATTGTCATTAGAATATTTTTGACAATAAGATGATACAAAAAACCCTTTCCGAAAGTGAAGGAAAAGGCTAAACAGGTGAAATAGGTAGTTCTTGATAACTGGCTATTTGGTGATTAAGAACTTGTAGAGCCATCTAGATGTAAATACAATAAATAAACGTGTATCAAAGTATGACACCTCATGAATTTATGTCCCAATCACTAGGATGAGCTCTTGCATGCCCTAATGCAAATTGGGTAATCACTGAAGTACACAGCTACACATTACACATTAATACAAGTCTGTCTTTACCTGACTCACCTGAAAAATTTACCTGTTGTTATCAAGTTAAATTACCTTCATCAATAAGGGTAAAATACTAGTAAATGTTGGGAACTGCCAGACGAGTACGAAATGACTACATTTGTGGAATGAAGATGAATGCATACCTTTGACCTATACAGCCTATGTTTTATGGAGATATGATCCCTATACAGGTGTGTTTCCAGTATAATGATGGAAAAACTAATGATCATCTTTGAATTTAAAGTTACATTAAATCTGGAACTTGGATAATTACATAATGTTCCAAATTCATCTAAGTATCTAATGGTACAAATTATTTAACTAATGCAATATCAATTGATATAAGAATTTGTGTCCTTGATAATATAGATTATGTATTCCAGAATCTTATGAATATTTCAATAAATGCAGAGCAGGGAGAATACATGAATACAAAATCGTTACATGAGCTAATCATGTAACAGCCTCTTTAACAGTTATAGCCAATAAAAATCAACTACAATCTGGATATGCATGTATCAATCGTGCATTCTTGGTCAAGGAGAACTGTCAGCAAAAATTAAATATCTTAAACTGATTTTCCTACACATTATCACATCAACAAAAGAAAGAGAAAGAGAAAGAGAAAGAGAAGAGAAAGAGAAAGAGAAAGAGAGAGAGAGAGAGAGAGAGAGAGAGAGAGAGAGAGAGAGAGAGAGAGAGAGAGAGAGAGAGAGAGAGAGAGAGAGAGAGAGAGAGAGAGAGAGAGAGAGAGAGAGAGAGAGAGAGAGAGAGTGAGAGTGAGAGAGAGAGAGAGAGAGAGAGAGAGAGAGAGAGAGAGAGAGAGAGAGAGAGAGAGAGAGATGAGTGAGAGAGAGAGAGAGTGAGAGAGAGAGAGAGAGAGAGAGAGAGAGAGAGAGAGAGAGAGAGAGAGAGAGAGAGAGAGAGAGAGAGAGAGAGAGAGAGAGAGAGAGAGAGAGAGAGAGAGAGAGAGAGAGACTGATTTATGTACTACTTATAAATCATTCAAATCTTTCAGCGTTTTTTAATATTTTACATCCTGACCTCCTTTTCGTTTTATTACATATAGTTCTAAGTGTTTTTTTAGTATGCCTTTGAATGCATTTACCTGCCCTTTTCAGCTAGAAAGTGAAAGAAATTTGAAGTCATTCTGAAATTAATTACATGCTGCCAGGGAAAATATTGTGCTCATTTTTTTTTCTTTTTGTTTTATGTCTCTGCACACAAATGGCTCTGCTAGTGCTTAGCCACAAAAGAATCAATTAGTAGACCTTGTGACCTTACCTAATTTCACCTTTCATTGAATTGACAGAAAAAAACATTTTACTAATGCTATGCATATCGATGGTGTTATTTTTTATTATAGACATTATAATTACTATAATGTTATAAGCATTATAAAAAGTTTGTGAGACAGGCAGTACTCGTACTTGGCTCATTGGTGACTTGGTACAAGATGGACATGGCATGTACATACATACCATCGGAACTGGTTTAAAAACATGAAAAACAAGATACAGAAGCTGAAAATACAACCTTTATCCACACTACAATTTCATGTAAAACCTTTTTCAGTTGAAAAACTTGTGGGCTCTGGTATCCAGTAATATACATGTTATCCTGGGAGACTACTGATACTGTTGCATGGCACTGATTTATGAGGATGCATGTATTGCACCATGATGATGATCTTGACTATGCAATTTACTTTAAAATATTTTGAGGCCGACCTAATATGCTTTGTCAAACTTCCACATTCCAAGTGAGGGCCAGCAGAGCATTTTTCATGGAAATACTGGAGGTTGATCTTTGAAAAAAGTGAGATGCCAATTTACAAATATAATTTTGTGAGGTGTATAAACCATAATTAGTCATAAGTACATTTTGAAATTAACTGTGCTAAAACTTTTCTCTAACTTCAGTCAATACCATTTTTGCACTCTAACTGATATACTGATACCTAATATCTGCTAATGTCTGAGAGCACCCAACAATAATTTTGCCAAATCATCTGAACAATATTTTCATTTTCAAAAACTCTTCCTGGGGCATTTACTGCAATGAGCAATAAAATATACTTACTCAAAACCTTTTTAATAGCTCTTACCACCAATGTAAGTTCAAATTACACAATTCACAACTTATGGCAGTAGCTTTGAAGCCTTTCTATGATGGAAGTACTTCTGACAGTAGAAATGAGGAAATTACAATTAAGATTGCTAACATCGGACTATTACTTAACTATTACTTAATCCTTTCACGCCGGGTGTCACATATACATGACATGCCCACTTTGAGTTTACTTGTTTAATTGTTTTTACACATAGATGGCTACACTTGTTGCGAGTACTGCCTATCTCCCCCGTTTACCCTTTTCTTTAATTTACGCGAATATTTTACGTTATCTTATTTTGCTGTTATTAATGTTTATAACATTATAGTAATTATAATGTTTACAATAAAAATAACCCTCGATATTCATAGCACTATTAAAAAATACATTTTCCCGCCAAATGAAATCAGGTAAGGCAGAGCCATCTATGTGTAGAGACATTTCACAAAAAGTATAAAAAATGAGCACAGCATTTTCCTAATTCTTTGTTCATTTTTATCTGTCGCGAATGGGTTAACACATAATATGACCACCACATAATGATTTTTTTTTTGTCGAAGTCCAGGCTGTCAAGAAAAAATTTGGCTCCAGGCCGTGGTGACAGGAATGATTCTTCATGAATGCACAAAGTTCTTGGAGGAAGATAAGACTGAATGGGCATTTAGGAAAAGGCATTTACATTACTTCCATCAGTAAACAATGGTGGAATGTACTATCTGTGAGCCATGACTGGAAAAACGCCAACTTTAGGGAGGACACTGTTTCCATATTCAGGATCTAATTCCTGCACACTATGACAGTAAAAAAGCAAATAATGCTTATGCAGAAAAAGAGATAACAACATTGCAAAGTTGAGACATGGAATCTTGATACTGCACATGAATGTTCCTGTGGGCTGGTCCACAAGCTACACATCTGGGAGAGTCACCACTCAATAAGTCAAATGCCCAGGATTTGATCCACTTGCAGGTCATGATGCAACCAGAACCAAGGGGTTAGATATCAGCTGGTCTTCATTACTATTAATAATATCAACAACAATAATAATAATAAAGATCCTTTCCATATGACATAACATTGATATATTTGCTTTCTTGATTAGAGAACTAAACAGCAAGCCAAGAACTACTGTCTACTTACAGTGAGCTTCCTCACAGAATACTTCTACACCAAACTTGTACACTAAATCCAAACCAATATGACACACAAAAAAGGGGGGCACACACGTTTGCACACAGACATGCACGCAAAAACAAACAAACAAACAAACACACACACACACTGTAAACTGACTATGGTATAAAACAGAAGTTAAATTGGACCATGAGAGACCAAAAAGTCTAAAATTACAAATATGTGCTTGTTTTTTATTCACTACAATCGTAGCCATGTGCAGAACATTCAAAAAGTCGTACTCATCATGATCATGGAAGGCCTGTCAAAAACTGGCAGGATTTTTGCCCAAGTTTCCTTTAGCTACAAGCTTGATATCAGGCCCCAATGCATGTAAGCCCTCCTCTGCCTGGGTCAATCATACACTTATGCTTTCCCATTTCTATCTTCTTGTGGATGAAACACGGTGAATGCGAAGTAATTTTGGTGTTGTATTTCCTCCAGCCAAACCTAGATCTTGTCTCCTCCCACACTCCATGCTATATTGTTTCGATGAGTTACTTCCTGGTATATATACACCATCTTTTTTAAGTCTGACTATTCAAGCAGAGCCAGTTCTTATTTCATGACATGAATGTGATTACTGCAACGGCTCCTGATGGGATGCACATTAATAATACACCCTGCATGTATTTGTCTCTTGCACTGTGATATTCATTCTCATTAACCCCTTGGTGCCGGGTGACGCCGATCGGCGTGTAAACAAAGAGCTCGAAAGCTGGCGTGCAGCCGAACGAGCGGGCGGCGCGCCAAAGCGCGGCAAACCAGTGATTCGGGCTGATGTCCCCTACTCACGCGCTCAAAGTCGGCGCGCCGCCTTTGTTTGTTTAATACTTTTTCTACATTTGTTGTTATGAACACTGTCTATACCCAAGAGGTTTATCCTATAATATGGAACTATTCCAAGTTTTATCCTGTCAGATTACACACAGATAATCTTTGTTGACCTTACCATAGAAGTGCCATGAAACACTGAAGCAACTGTGATTGCTAAGCCTATGCGCACTCTATCATGCGTGTGAATAAACTGGAAGATAATCGTAGAGTTTACTTTTCTATTTAAAGGAAGAAGAAATCTTCTCTAATTTGGCTCTCCCCCAATTCAAACCTCCACTTCCCATCGTTCTCTACAGCCTACTGGATGTGTGTGTGTGTGTGTGTGTGTGGGGGGGGGGGGTTAACACCAAATAGAAGGTTTGGAAAGAAAGTGAACCTCAGATTCATTTGAATTACATGAATCTATATGAGAAATTCTGGATCATGTCTGAAAATAGTGTTATATATGAGGGAGAATTTTACCAATCGTAAGCCTACTTATAAGTAATATGGGAAAACCAATAAGATTGCCGTTAACCCATATCCAACAGGCATGGCATGTACATACATGCCATGCTCACTATCAGTTTACTTTATTAATTGTTTTTACATATAGATGGCTAGACTTGCACTAAGTCACCAATGATCCAATAACGAGTTCTACCCATCTCACCTGTTTAACCCTTTCCTTGATTTTCAAAATTATCTTTTGTTATCTTATATTCTTGTTACTAATATCTATAACATTATAATAATCATAATGTCTATAATACAAATAAAACCATCAGTATTCATGGCATTAGTAAAAAATATTTTTCTTGCCAATTCAAGGAAAGGTGAAATCAGGAAACGTCACAAGTTCTACTAATTGACTCCTTTGTGGCTAAGCACTAGCAGAACCATTTTAGCAGCACGACCCCACAACCTGAAGTTTAGCGTAGTTTCCCAGTTGGGTCACATCGGGTCCACAGCCATGTCCATGCTCATTGGACAGTGGGCTCCCCTCGTTTCCTGTGCACGTACACAGCGCATGTGTACTTAAGCTGCAGAATCCGGAACCGAGATCAGCATTCCCCAATCCTCCAGCCAACCACGACGACAACAGAAGCAACACAAGGACAGCCCAGTCCTTAGCCGACTAGGGAGCCTACCTCTCCATTCCAACTTCAGCACCCGGCCATACCTGAGGTCACTCACACCCACAAAATCACTCCATAAAGTGATATAGACCAGTCCAAATAGTTGATGCAATAGCATCTACTATACTGTCTATGTGCATAGACATTTTACAAAAAAATAAAAAATGAGGACAGCCTTTTCCTGGCAGCTTTGAGTTAATCTTTATGGTATGGATGCACTAAACTAGAGCTAATTGGTGGTAATATTCTTGTAAATGACAAAAAATTTAAGTCTTCGATACAAGAAATAATCTGTAGACATGAATGGTAGCACCAAAAATAAATGGAAAAGACTGCGGAAAGTATCCGCTTACAGCCTAAGTCCAGTCTGTGCTCCTGAGTTTCAGCTCTATCATACTGAAGTAAAGACAATGCTTCCTGGGGGTGTTGAAAGCCCCTCCTCAACCCTCCCTAAGGGCACACCCAGTCACCGCAACTTAGATTGTTCAATGAATTTTGTAACAGAATTAGGGACTTTGAATCTGGCTACTATATAGAATTACCAAGATTGCGATTCTATGCATAACTAGAGTAAAAAAAATATAGTTGTTGCAAAAAATAAAACAAAAAAGCCATAAAACAAGTATCTCAAGGGATAACCCAAAATGAGTATACACCTTCAATGATACCACAAGAGCCAACTAACCTCCACCACATAGTCTGGCAAAATGGAGCTTGGACTGGTTTCTCATTTGACAAGAATTTGCAAGGGAACTCAATAAATCATACATATAGTGGCCATGATTGTAATAATGAAATGCAGGCCCAGTTTTTATCCCTCTCCATCCACGGCACCCCACAACTTTATGGGATTCGTAAGGTTTGGGTTAATCTTCACTGTCCGCGGTCCACTCCATGTTCCCGATTTTCAGCCCCATCTTGCCGTGCACACTGAGGTGAAGACAATGTTTTCCATTAACCCCTTGGTGCCGGGTGACGCCGATTGGAGTGCAAACAAACCACTTGAAAGCTGGCATGCAGCCGAACGCCGTGGCGGCGCGACAAAGCGCGGCGAGCCAGTGATTTGGGCTGATGTCCCCTACTCACGCGCTCAAAGTCGGCACACCACCTTTGTTTGCTAGAGCGTAGAGTTTTTTTGTTTTGTTTTGTACACCCAGCGTCATTGGATTAACCTTCCCCTTAGGCAGTGCCTAAAGGAAATACCCAGTCATGGGAAATTAGACTGTTGAACTAATATTGTAACATGGGATTCGAGCCTTAGTCTTTGGTAAGTGTGTCTGCACTGTAGAGAATGGCCAAGGTTACTCTGCTACATTAAAATTATAATTTTCCTAGCTAAGTGATCTGTCACTGGTTCCTCACTCAACTACACAAATTTTGTACTTGTTTACGCTCTGGCACAGGAAGAAAAAAAAAAAAAAACACACAAAAAAAAAACACATACATATTAGCATGAAAGAGTTTACAAAATAATAGACTTTACATTATCTCTTTCAAAATCAAAACATAGTAAGAAAAGTAACACAAATTATTCACTATTCCTTATTTAATGAACAGGAATAAACAGCTCAAAATTCTATAACCAGCAAAACGCACACAGCACGGACGTCTGTCATCCACTACTTCCGACTGGGCTTGTCACGGCGAGAATATGCCATCCAGCCTTCGTGAGTGAACAATCAGTAATAGGCTCTATCTTGCTGAAGTATATATATGACAAACCTTTGTTGTCCTTTGCCTGAGTGCCAATAGGTATAGAGACTACAGCAATGACTTAATGTTGTATCATTATTACACTTGAACTTAAAAGCCTTTATTAATATTAAATCTCATAGTAGTTTCAAGTGAATTTACACAAAACAGAATAATTTTCACTACAAGTCAATCGGCAATATCTTACATGATAACCCGTAGCTTTGGATTATAAGACTGATCAAGACGATTAAAGTATGCAATTGCAATTACGAGTCTGCACGAGTGTCGGCATCATCACATGCACTGCAACTTGCATTACCCTAACCCCTTTACTTTAAGAAATTGAGAGAAGGGGGAAAAAAAAACTATTTTTGAGGTTTAATAGCACGTCCATCTTCAAGCCGAGACTCCAAAATGACTTAGAAAAACCTATAATAAAATACCTTAGAAATTGAGAGAAGGAAAAAAAAAACTATTTTGCGGTTTAATAACACGTCCACCTTCAAGCCAAAACACCTAGAGACTTAAAACAACAAACAAACTTAGAATGACTTAGAAAATGACTTAATGACTTAGAAAAGCCTATAATAAAGTACCTTATACGATGCTCGGCCGGAATACATCACAACCACAACTACAACTACAACAACTACAACAGCGCCTTTGAAACCTCCTCGTTTAGTCCTTTTAATCCTCACCTGAACTCGTAACTGAAGCCGGGTATTGCTAATCTCCTTCTTGTCTGTATCAAGCGTTTCCCTCCGAGCTCGAAATCAAGCTGTGATCCAAAATTAAATCCGGAATTATTCTTTCTTTTCTTTCTTTGCTTTTTTTTTTCTTCGTGATACAGGCGACAGTAGCAAGCCCGTGTCCGAATGCGTTGCGCGGTGGTGGTGTTCATCCGGTGTGTTTTTTTTTCTCTCCAAATATTTGCGGTGGTTTTGCTTTTTTTTGGGGGGGATGGCTGGGTACTTTCTTAAAAGGTATTTGAATATATTGATATATTGATAATTGTTTTTTTTATTGTGTATTTTTTTATGGATTTGCATTATGCGAATTATGTATTTCTCTTCTACAGGCTATGAATGAAGACGAACAAATGCACGTGGAAGCGGACGAGGAATCGAACGAAGTGTACTGTAATAAAACAAATGTCTTTATTTTGCAGATATTACTGTTAGAAATAGATGAATTGTACATCTTCTTATTGTACATCTTCTTATGGCAATTAAATTTATGGTGCCTAAAATACATTTCAAACGTTTAAACTCCGTCATTAAGGGGGATAAAGTAAACCCGAGGAAGACAAAATGAAACGTTAATTCGCAAAAAAAAAAGAACAAAGCAACATATATTGTGAATAATGGCATGCATAAAATACATATAATTAATTACATTACAAGAATAAAGACATTAATCGTCCTGTCATGCCGTGTGTGTAGTTTGTATTAGAGATGTAGCCAAAAACGTGCTTCCTTTTTCTTTGTTGTAGTTCGAGAATTTCTATCTTTATCTTTATTAAATCATGAGCATTATAGATTCAATTTGTCATACAAAGTATATGTTCTAGTAAATCATTAATAGCTGTCACCATCTCTTGGTAAAAGGATATGTTAAAAAAGAAAGGCAAAGAAAAGAAAACAAAACAAAAAAACATTTCAACCACATTCCAAAAAAGAGGGTCGCATACCCCTACCCCCCAAAAACAACAACAACAACAATGAAATACAAACATATACATAGAACAATTATTAAAATACACAGCGAAAACGTCACCAAAAATGACGCAACGAGGATTCTCACCGGCTGTGCTACTTGCCACATGTTAGACCCACACGAAGCGGCGTAGATGGGCTGAGGGAGAATAATCAATAGAAATAGTTGAACCTGAATTTGCACTTGTAGAAATCGCCTTTTGAAATGGTAGATAAATGTGTCAAATGATGTTTGAATGAGGAGAAAGATTGTTTGATGTGTGAAGATATTTATGAAGATAAAAAAGAAAATTGGGTATAATGATGCATAATTAGCACAAACAGAGTACCTAAAATACGTAAATTTATTTGAAGAGTAGATATTAACAAAGTATCTGGAAGACATATGTTCATCTTTTATAAATAACTATAATGGCAAATGTGTTTTTTTTCAGGTCACCTGCTCCTACTATACTATCGCCATTACTAGCTTCAATAAAAAAAAGCTGACACGTACAAAACATTTCTAGTGAGGAATGTATTGTATTGTGCACAGCTAGAGCCACATCACATATTATAACACACCTGCCTGTCTATTTATAAGTAAGGTTTGACGATGTAGTCAACATGGACATATGCTCAACACATGTAGACTTACACGCACCAGTAAATAGTATGTGAGTTCGTGGCGTAATAGTTAAACGTAAAGGTTTCGGAATAAAGATAGCATTAGATAAATAAATAAATAAATATATATATATATATATATATATATATATATATATATATATATATAAAGTATATATATACATATTGCTGATCTTTAGAAATTAATTCTTGCCTCTGGAAATACATTCAGTCTTGACATAATATATAACATGTACGAACGAATAAAGATGAAATCATTGATTTCGAAACATTATACTTCTCTCATGAAACACAAACGCTTGGAAATTCTAATGCCAGAAAGACTAACATGCTTTTCAATCATAACTCGCGAAGGTAACTTGTGCGTTTAAAGACAGCCATATTAACAAACAAATCACACGCACCTTAACATCAGTCATTATCATTTCCGCATCAGTGATTTAGAGCATCTAACGATACCTCTCCACCGAAACGCTATACAAACGACATTGCAAAATACATTACGTAACCTTCCTACCATATCCAAGTGTCTGCCTGCAAGCACGTGATACTACCTACTTGCAACACCTTGCGCGTTCCATGCTGAGATTACTTTTAGTCTTGGAGTTCAGCGTAAGGGAGAACAATGCAAAGCGAATTCTAAATTGAAAAGTGAATTGAAGTTTTGCATACTAATTACTATATCGGGCTCACCTCCAAGCATTAAGTATCAAAGGACTTCGCACAAGAAAACTACATGCTAACCTTCTGTCTGTAATTTTATTTCTATCACTAACTCTTACACACACGCACACGCACATTCTCTCTCTCTCACACACACACATACATATATACACATACATGCATATATATACTTATATATATACATATATATATTGTGTATATAAATACACACACACACACATATATATGTATGTTTGTATACACACACAAACACACACACACACACTCACATATATATATATATATATATATATATATATATATATATATATATATATATATATATATATATATGCGTAATATACATACATATACATATATACACATACATATACATACATACGCACACACACACACACATATAGATAGATATATAGATATAGATATATACGAGTATGGATATATGCATACATACACAAACACACAAACACACACACATATATATATATATATATATATATATATATATATATATATATATATATATATGTGTGTGTGTATGTGTGTGTGTGTGTGTGTGTGTGTGTGTGTGTGTGTGTATCTTTGTGTATATATCTATATCTACATATATATATATATATATATATATATATATATATACGTGTGTGTGTGTGTGTGTGTATCTTTATGTCTTTATGTATATATCTATATCTACATATATATATATATATATATATATATATATATATATATATATATTTTTTTTTTTTTTTTTTTTTTTTTTTTTTTTTTTTTTTTTTTTCAACAGCCATTCATTCCACTGCAGGACATTGGCCTCTCTCAGTTCAGTATTGAGAGGTTATATGGCGGTGTCACCCTTGCCTGATTGAATGCCCTTCCTAATCAACCGCGGTTCGGCGCGCTAACACTTGTGCCACGGCGGTGACTTCCCCTACGACACCTGCGTTTGACTTCTCAAGCCGATATGTCGTTTTCTCGGGCTCGAGTCAGCAGTCAGAGCGTAGGCATTTTTTTTTTTTTTTACAACTGCCGCGACGGGGAATCGAACCCGGGTCCACGAGGGTCGGAGTCCAGTGCTCTAACCACTGAGCTATCGCGGCAGTATATATATATATATATATATATATATATATATATATACAGTATATGAATATACATATATTATATATACATACATACATATATATGTATGTATATATGTATATAAATGTATATGTATATATTAGTATATATATAGATATAAGTGTATATATATATATATATATATATATATATATATATATATGTATATATATATATATATATATATATATATATATATATATATATATAAGTATATAAATGTCAAGATCGATATTGATTTAATATTTGAAAGGTAGGTACATGTAGATGCCTAGACCACGCAGAATTGCCAAATACCATCCTTCTATGTATTTTTTTTTTTTTTGAAGACATATAAATGTAGCAAAATTTAGTGTTATAAATAATAAAATGAATTAAAATAATTATCTCTAAATGGTTAGTTTGCTGAAGTGTTCACAATTTAATAAATTTCATTTTTTCAGACACGGTTTTTGATCTCTCACAAAATCTGAAGGGCCGGAAACTGAAGGTTGTAATGATAAGTGAATAAAAATAAATATTAAATCCCCTTGAATTAAACTGTGATAACTAAGATGGGTTTCTGCTCTCCTCTTACATGCAGAAACAGTAAATGTTGAGGAAAATGAGTCAAGACCCAGCAAGCCATGTTTACTGTAACTGTTAGGAAATATTAGTTATTGTTATTATCATTTTTTATTATTTTAGGCCCGTGGATACAATTAGTAAAAGGCAAAAAATCCGATTGTGTCAACGAATGAACAAGGAAAGGTACAAATGATCACAATAAAGTGTAGGACAGGAAAATCGTAACAGAATTAAAGGAATGATTACTTATTCGACAACGTAAAAATAATGGAAAATGCCAGGGAGTTTTGGGGTTGTTTTTTCGATACCGTCTCACTTTCATCATATTTATTTTGTTTATTATTGATTTATAATTTGTAGGCAAATTACAAAGGGCGTAAAGTTAAAGTTAACCGTAGACTTAAACTAATTTAGTAAAAGAATATTCCTGTCATTTTTCTTTTTATTATTATTACTAATATTAACCCCATTGTAATAAACCACCTGTGTATCATTAATAGACTATAGAATAAAAGATAATCGGTTAAAACTGGTTAAAAATCCCCATCATAAGCCTTAAGACCGTGAAGTCATGCTACTCACATGAAAATAAGCAAGTAATTTTTTTTCTCTCGGAGTTTCCTTTAACCCGAAGCTCCAGGTAGTGGCGGTGATACCAAAGTAACATTTTCATTATTTGTATCAGAGATGATCTTGACAAATTGGTAGCAGTAATTTAGGTGAATATATTTTAGGTTGCATGAGAAAAAATAGCAATACAACATATATATATATATATATATATATATATATATATATTTATATATACACTACACATACAAACGCACACATACACACACACTCACACACACACACACACACACACACACACACACATATATATATATATATATATATATATATATATATATATATATGATACAAAAGTAACATTTTCATTATTTGTATTAGAAGTGATCTTGACAAATTGGCAGCAGTAATTTAGTAGAATATATTTTAGGCTGTCTGAGAAAAAAATGTATTACAACATATATACATACATACACACCTACAAACATGCACACACACGCGCGCGCGCGCGCACATATATATATATATATACATATACATACATATACATTTATGTATACATGCATGTGCAGTTGATATTATTTTTAATATTCATACGTTGCAGGCAACTCGACTTAAACACAGACATATATATGTACCTGTGTATGTGTCTATACTTATAACTGGTACAATAAAGTATGAACATGACAATTTATGTCACTGTCCATCGAGTGTATGGTATGTATGACTGCAGGCCACTGTGCATACATGTTTACACACACACATATATATACATATATACATATGTATGTATATATTTATATATTTATCTATCCATCTCTCTTTCTATATATATATATACATACATATATATACATACACACACACATATGTATACACACACACACACACACACACATACGCACACACACACACACACACACACACACACACATATATATATATATATATATATATATATATATATATATATATATATATATATATATATAGTTTGTGTATGTGTCTATTTAAATACTGTTATGTGTATTCAAGTTAGAGTGATTGAGCTTGAACAAGATCTCCCAGAACGATTACATATTCTACGATATATCGATTTGAACGATAAAAGCTCTGATTCAGAGTCCCATCTCTTCCAAGGAAATGTGTCTTATCCTTTGTCCCAATGGATTAGCGACACAAAGGATTATCTAGTGAATCACTTCCTTGCGCAATTACGGGGGATCGGCATTTTAATTAGGCGGTATGGTTCAAGGTCAGCATTTATAATAGCGTGATTCAGAACCGGTACTTAAAATAACATGATTCAAGTCCGGTACTGAAAAGAACGTTATGATCTGCATATCAAAAAATACGTTTCTGACTTAAGCCTGAATTGTATTAAGGGACAATCTTATGTATACGGCAGAAGTACAGTTTGTTAGTTTTGTCAAAACCCGAAGGTTGGCCTGTTAAGCATAACAAGTCATTTGCGCTTAAATGCTGCTGTTTCTCAAAGAAAAGAGTAAGTAAGTAATAGTGATGGTTACAAAAAACAAATGTGTTTTTTAATACACGATAAATCACGTGAAAATAAAAAGGAGGTACTTATTTGGTCTCAGTATAAAATCATAGTTTATCTAATTTAGCAATTCTATGTGGATAGAATACATCGACATACGACAAAACTGCCTTGAAATATAAATTAGTGTGTATGGGTATATAGAAATGTACAGATAATATATTTTATAGTTTCAAAAAGTAATTACATGTAAGTAAACATACCTTACTGCACGATTATTGATAATGCACTGCGCAGTACTGTACTTCTAACCTACAGTAGTAACAATTGCCGATACGAAAAGATAGATCAGCTACCATCTTCATTGTTGTGATTCAATTATACGTCTTTAAACCTTCTCTCGAGCCATATTTAGTTATGATTTGAACATAAAAAGGAGAATTGGAGTTTTGTGATGAAGATTTAAAGCCTAGGACGAAGACGTAAGGATGGGGGACGAGTCGAATGCACATTGTTTTTTTAGGATGACGATAAAAGCGGGATAAGACCTTTATACTGGTTCTGTGGTTAACGGTTATTTCTGGCAACAGTTATTTTTTTTTCGTTGGATGCTCACCGATCGTCTACATGCCGGTAAACGAATCATTGTTGGATATAAAAATCTGAATATAGTATGGTGTACATTATACGTATATATATACACATGTATGTAAATTCATAAGTATATGTATGGGTTTATAAATGTGTGTCTGTCTGTCTGTCTGTCTGTCTGTCTCTCTCTCTCTCTCTCTCTCTCTCTCTCTCTCTCTCTCTCTCTCTCTCTCTCTCTCTATATATATATATATATATATATATATATATATATATATATATATGTATATATATGTATATGTGTATGTGTATACATATATATTTATATAAATACATAAATATATACATATACACATTTTTATGTGTAAATATACACATATATGTATATATACATACATATGTATATATATATGTATGTATATATATATATATATATATATATATATATATATATATATATAATTTATGTATATTTGAGTAATTGGATATATAAGTACATGTATATACATATATATACACATATATATGTACATATACATATATATATATATATATATATATATATATATATATATATATATATATATATATATATATATATGTATGTATGTATATACACACACACACACACGCATGCACGCACGTCCACAAACACACACACACACACAAACACATATCTTAAAGCGGAAATTACTTTTCCCTGCTATCTTTTTCCATTGAAAAAGAGTAAACAGAAAATAACAAAATAAATGTTTCAGATAAAAAACAATGATATTTATTACTACATAATGAACTGTCACCGTCAGAGTTTAAGCTCCTTACCAAAATCGGCTTACGTTAATTTCATCTGAATCCTCAATATAATTTACTGAAGCTTTGTTGCACTGAAGTTATACCTTGATGGAGTTAATCAGATTTCATTTCCAAATATTGCATTATCAAGAAATATTGTTATGATTGCCTTTACCAATGTCTGTCCTTTTTTATATATTTGTTCTTCTTAGATTCTTTTTTTATAAATTTTCCATTAAAAATCCATAACCTCGTTACCAATTCTTTCACACGGGGGAAAAACATTTTCGCAAAGCCACACACTTTCTGGCATAATGGTGGATGGGTGGATGACAGAGACCATGCATTTTGGATACGTAATTGGCTATACTGAACTTATTCTTCGTCCGAGTTTTACGTCAAAACAACTTTTTGATATACAGATATAGATACTTATACTTATATATGTGCAACTTTTTGATATACAGATATAGATACTTATACTTATATATGTGCAACTTTTTGATATACAGATATAGATACTTATACTTATATATGTGCAACTTTTTGATATACAGATATAGATACTTATACTTATATATGTGCAACTTTTTGATATACAGATATGGATACTTATATATGTGCAACTTTTTAATATACAGATATAGATGATTGTACTTCAATAGTTACACGTCAAAATAACCTTCTGATACATAGATACCTATATTTCCCTTGCGTTTATGTTTAATTATATTTGTATTTAGTATATCATAATGGAATTATCTTTCTTACTTTGCCATTGCTAACATGAACACTTTTATTAGTCAGGATGGAAAACAATGCAGTTACAAATACATTTTATTTACGTATAGAAACATTGCTATACAAATCATAAAAAGTGCGTGAATATAATTTCATATTAAAGCATCAACGTAAAGTGCAGGATAATGGCGTGTATTTCGTGATTCGTGAGAGGATGCATGATTTTTTTTTGCCATGGGTTTATAGGGCTTGTAATAAAGCCTAACAGAAGCGTGATTAAAGACAGTTTCATAACATTGAAGAAAAAAATAACATCTAAATCACGTCTACATAGCTAAACTTTGCTTTTCATTTATCTTACACTACGACTTCAACGGTGCTACCACATGAATAACAAAAAAAAAAAAAAAAATCGAAGACAACACCAACAAGAGTGACTCCCTTACGACTACCAAGAACCTCTCGGCTGAAAGGCAATGGTTCTTTCGCTCCGAGAGAAAAGGCTCGATCGGTTCCTAGAGTCTTGCTTAGTTCCATCCTTGTGTTGACTGAACTGTGATGACGGGAGGTCCAGCAAGGTCACAGATATTGCTTCCTTCTCCTTTAAGAATAATTAAGCGTGTGGTGGAAGAAAAAGGTTTGCGTATTTTATACATATGCTCGATTTATACAACACAGATTGAGAGGACATTGCTACGTGTCCCCCAAGTAGTGTTCATTTTTTGAAAGATTTGGTTCAGAAATCGCATGCCATGGGTGAGTGGTTCGCTGTCTTTTTGGCACTGGAGGTCCATAAACACACCTAAGATATCAGACAGAACTGATGATGTGAATTATCTATATACAGTGATGGGGATGTATATCATCTGTTGACACGGTGAGCACTCGCGCTCCATTAGAATCTCTCAAGCCCAAACCTGGAACCACTAACCTTGGCAGCATGTAAGATAAGATACAAAACTCATGAGCTGTACGGCTGAAAAGGACACATCGCCGTAAAGACCTTAATCGCGCATAATAACGTGTGTGTGAACTTTGTACATCATACTTTCAAGTACCGCCGCGTGGTCCTTATGCTCGAAAATTCGGACGGGCTTCGGAACTCTTTACTATGGCTCCCGAAGACACTTATCATTCCTCCGTACAGCCTTGGAACAGTCAGACCAAAGCCAAAGGACGGGACTAGTTTCATAATCACAGACCCGAAGTCCGAGATGAAAGTCGTGGAGAGAACAAAAGCCCGTGGAGAGGGACTTTCAAAGGAGGTGATTGCAGCAGAGAATGAGCGCTGATTGTTGGATGTCCTCAAGTCTGGCAAGGAGGCGCTCTTGTGGCGTCTAAGAGATTAAACACTTATCTTTGGTCTTCTTATACTGGTTGATTATTGTTACTTTTTTTTCTTGAGGTAGCTTGCATTTTTTCTTCTTGACAAATAAACAGAGAAAGAGAGATCAGTGCACGGGACCCCCTTAAAAAAAAAACTTGAAACGATTCTTTTCATAAAGTACAAGCTATAAAGACAGTTGGGACATAAGTTGCCAACAAAATGGACTACATAAATAGGAATCTTATTATAAATATACCGTTAAAAAATGAGAGAAAACAAACAATCATTCTCTGCTAAATTGTCCCTAAATCCTCCTCGATAATTTCAACCTCAGGCTTCGGGTCCGCCTCGTCTCAGGTCCCCGGCGCAGGAGCGGTGAAGGACCCGCCTGACGACCGCAACTTCCTGACGGCGATGATGACGAGGGCGACGAGGAGGACGATGGCGATGAAGGCGAGGATGACGCCCGTCACCACGGAGGCATTGGAGCTCACCACGCCCAGGACGATGGCTTCGTTTTCCTCTGCGTGGGGGGAGGGGAAGGAAAAAGCTCAGAGTTGCGTTGATGTGTAAAAAAATATATGTTTTATTGCGCTGGGAATGATCTATACTAATTTAATATCTAATAACACCTAATATCTGAGAACATCAAATAACAACCTAATCTTATATCTAATAACAACCCACTCTAACATCTAATAAAACCCAATAACAACCTAATCTCACATCTAGTAAACACCAAATAACCTCCTCTAATATCTAATAACGACCTAATCCAATATATAACAATAACAATCTAATCCAAAACTCTAATAAACAAAAACACCTCCAGCAACAACAACAGCAAAAACTCAGAGGACACTCACGCCACCCAATGAACTCGTCCTTGTTCTGAGACTCGAGCCAGGACATGAGAGGCTGGAAATACTCGAGAATAGGTCCTGCTTCTAGACGGTCGGTGCGGCCGCTGGTGAGCACGGAGAGCGCCTCGGGCCAAGGGCGAGACTTGCCGAGGGAAAGGACGTTCCTGCAGGAGGGGAAGAAGAGGTAAAAGTCAAAAAAAAAAAAGTATAAAAAATAAAGACTGATATGGTGTCATCTGATTTTGGTGAGAAAAATATTTTGTTCCGGTATGGTAATTGTGTTACAAGTAACAGACTGTGCGCTTAAGGAACTGTGTTTGTAAGGTACGTGGATACTACAGGTAAATACTATTCATGTCCAATTGTAATAAGGACTTTCACTCTCGTAATCCATTCAGAAAAAATATGCTGATTTTACTGAGTGTGGGTTATCCATTTCGCTCTTTTCCTCTTTCTGTTTCTCTCCTTTCACTTTCCCTCCCTTTCACTCGAAATGAGTAAATAAATGGGTAAATATATGCACAAACAAACACATAAATAAGTTAATGAAATAATTATAATGAGTAAAAAAATAATAAGTAAACAAATAAATAAATAAATAAATGAGTGATGAGTAAATCTACGAATAAAGAAACGATGAATGAATTGATAATTGAAAAAATGAATAACTATTAAATGAATGAAAAAAAATAAATGAGCAATGTGTAAATCAATCAATAGATAATTGAGTATTGAGTAAGTAATTGAAAAAAAATACATGAATAACTATTAAATAAATAAAAAAACGAGCAAAGAATAAGTAATTGAAGAAAAAAATGTTTAATGAGTAAATAAATGAGTATTGAGTAAGTCACTGAAAAAAATAATGACTATCAAATAAATAAAAAATGGGCAATGAAAGGATAAATGTATATTGAGTAAATAAATGAGTAATGAATAAAGCAACGAATAAACATACGAAGAAACCAAACACAACCCGCGGCAAACTGACCTCAAGAGCCTCCCAGCTTCGGCAGAGCGGTAGATGTTGCAGCGGTGGAGTGGGCCCGTGTGCCCTGCGGCCTTGCAGAGCTCAGCGTGGAACTGGAACTGCACAATGAAGCTCACGAAGTACCTGCAATCAAGGAAGAATCATGTTATTTGGATATTTATATCTCTTTTTTTTTCAGTACATTTTCTAAGATTCATGCAAGATAATGTATTTGGTAACTGCAGGGATAGTTTGTTTAATCTGTAGTGGTAATATGATGAGGAAGGAAACAGTTTTATCAATAACAAGAACAAGTTTTATCAATAACAAGAACAAGTTTTATCAATAACAAGAACACTGCAGTTCTTCGTGGAAAAAAAATCGTCAAGAAGTCTGCCATGAAGTCTGACAAACACACGTGACAAGGAAAAGAGGAAAAAAATAACAAAAGAAAGGCACAATGAACCAAGAAGATACCACGGAGGACTAAGAAAAGGCCACACAGAACCACGATGACAAAAAAAGAACCAAACAGGTGCCACATAGAACCAAGCAGACACCACTCAAAACCAAACAGACACCACACAGACACCCTATTATGAAAACCGTCCCACCGTGAGCTCTTACCTCACGTAAGGCACATTAGCCGGGATGTGGAACTTGGCGCCGGGGTCGAAGTCATCCTCGTCCCTTAGCAAGGGCGCAGACACACCCTGGTAGTTCACCCTAAGATCCCACCAGCGGCTGTTGTACTCTGACTCACTGATTTCTCCGCTAAACACTTCCCAACGCCACTAAGGAGGGCGAGACGTAGGGAGATTAATTTCACTTGGCATCATAAAGCAACGTGCAGTGAAAGATTTACGTTGATGACTGCATTGGACGTCTGCATTATCATGTTCTGAATATATATTATCATGAAGTTTGGCAAATGAAAAAGAATATGGACTAATTATATCAATTTTAAGTAAAGTTAGTTATAATTGATTTAGGTTCTCTGTAAATTAACACGACAAAAAGTCCCCGAGCTATATCTACTCATCCTTTCCCCGTTCTTCATCCCCGACGCACCTTGTCCACGAGATAACCGAACGGCAGGAAAGCGATCTTGTCCAGCGCCATCGAGAAGAGGAAGTTGATGTCGTTCTCGAAGGATTCGTCGACGTTGGCGAGGAGGTTGATCTCCTGAAGGTGCGAGGGCGTGGCGGCCGAGAGGGCTAGGACGTCGCCCACCGCTTCGTGGAAGGCGGGGTTAGCACCGTCCCTGTTGGCGGAGGTTGCGAGGGGTGAAGGTGGTCTTTGGAAGCGCACTTTCTTATGCAGGAGGAATTGGCTGATTACATTATAGGGAAGGGACTGTGGGAATCGAATATACATGAAGTAAGCTAAAGATAATAAACTCCTATTGCGAATATAAGAGGAAACATGAACTTACTTACAATTCGTATCTCTCATTATATTTGCGAAAAACACGAACAAAAACAAACACGGGAAAACTAAGATGAACAATACACAATAAACGTTTCGATAGAAGTATTTGAATTGTCCGATTACCTATTCCTATCCTATTGTGACTGAGTTTCATTTCAAGAAAACGCCAAGAGCCACAAATGGATTTCTTTAGCTACATGAGAGCTTTGGACGCGATCGAGTGTTTATCTTTTCTTCCTTACCTGAAGATGAAGGGCTGGTTGCGATACTGGAGATCGTATTGGATGTGACCCATTTCGTGGTGCGCTGTTATCAGGTCTTCCATCGTAATTTGGGTACATTGCTTGATTCTGCAATGCAAGTCAATAGGTAATGGTTCCGTTTCAGTGCAATGGAGGGGGCGTTTTGCACACACAATCTCTGCACGAATTCACGAAGCTCTTATTTTACTTTATTAGTTGGTAAAGAATTATCTGAGACAACAGTCGGTTCTCCTTTATAAATAAAAAAACGAATACAAGAATAAAGAAAACAAGAAAATATAAAAAAAAATATTAAAAGAAAATATATAAAAAATAAAACAAGAAAAAAAATAAAAAGTCACCAACCTGTAGTCTATACCATTGCAGAAATCCCAAGCGGAAGCGTGGCAGATAACGTCTCTATCAGAGGGCTTAATGAGGAGAGACTTCTGCCAGAAGGTCGAGGGCATCGGCTCGAGACCGAGGGAGATGAAGAAGGACTCCGACAGCCGGAACATGTCGAAGGGCGAATATCCCTGGCGACGGAGGGAGTTGGTCACGCTCACGCTCGGCCGTCCGGGGTAGGGCACCGTCAGGTCCATGATGTGGGTCCATGTCTGTGCCCACATGTTGCCTGAAGGTGTCGAATGGATGTTTAGGATTCATCTGCTTTGGGTCATTGATGTGTAGGATCACTATCGGTACTATTATCGTCGAAATCTTTATGATCACAATTGTCAGTTATTGCCGCTATGGTATCGATGTCTCTTTACATTGTTTGCTCATTTTTTTATGTCTGTATTTATTAAAGTAATCAATTACCATTCGCGTACTGTCGCTACTAAAATAATTTCGCAAAAGAAGCTTGGGTGAATTAAAATCTACTGAACTAAAACATGGTCACATTCTTTGAAGTCGTATTAAGAGGAGGGAGAAGGGGGGGAGGGAAAGCATACAAGTTTTCATGACGCTCCTGTTCATTACTTAATTAGAAACAGGGGCAGCTTGATTAATTTTGGGAAACCTG